TGGGGGCAGGGTAGCTGTGGGGAGGAGCCATAGTGACTTTAGAGATGTCCCCAGGGGTGACCTGCACTGGGGGGTTATCTGGGGTGACCCAGCACTGGGGCCAGTACCCATGGGACGGGCAGGGTCGAGGGGCCATGGCTGGTGCCCTGGTGCCTAGCTGGCCCCAGAGCCTCGGTGCCTGCAAGCACCTGCCCATGTCCCACCAGCCCATGCCTGCGCCCTGGTGCTGCCTCGGGAGGCTCCTGCCGCCTGCATCATCCCCGTGGCCCTGGGATTGGGAGGAGGTTCGAGCACAAGAGGGTCCTGACTCTACCACGGCTGCGATGCTCAGCTGGGGTCCAGGTCCTGCCCCGGTGGTGACAGCCCCGTCTCCACAGACTGGCAGCAGGGGCAGAAGCTACAGCAGGCATCCCACGACCACGCGGCCAAGCACGATGAGCTGTGGCAGCAGGTGGGCACCCAGGAGCAGCGGCTGGGGCAGGCGGGTGAGGCGCTGGTGCAGGCGCAGGAGGAGCTGGCACGGACCCGAGCGGAGCTGGTGCAGGCACGGCAGGAGGGGAACCGCAGCCAGGAGGAGCTGCAGGAGACCAGGACGGTGCTGCGGCAGACCAGAGTGGACATGGAGCGGGTGCAGGAGCGGGCCAGGGACCTGCAGCAGCAGCTGGATGAGAGTAAAAGAGCTCTGGCCAGCGCACGGCCCTGCCAGGTCACAGGTACCCCAGCGTGGGCTGTGGTGGGGAGTGGGGCACCCCAGCACTGGTGGTTTGGGTGGGACAGCCCTTCCCCACCCTGGCAGCACCGGGCCCAGGCCCCATGTAGAGAGGGCAGGGGTATCGCTGTGGGAGGGGAGAGTGCTGGGGAAGGCACCCCGCATCCTGGGCTGGCAACCCCGGACCTCCTGTCCTCCCCCTCCCCTGCTGCCTGCAACCCGGTCGTGCCCAGGGATGGCTGTGATACCCGTGTCCCCATAACCCGTGCCCCCCTCTGCCTCTAGGCTCCCCCCCCCCCGCATCCTTCACATCTGCCATGCTTTACTGGATTGAAAGGGAGGCTGCCTAAGGGTCCTAGAGCCATCCCGCACCTGTCTAACAGCCAGCCCGCCCCCTGAACACTGCTGGGCTCAATCCGTCCCTTAATCTTTAGGGCGAGCTATGGGGCTCCAGCTGCCTCTTACAACGCATCTATGCCTTGCAGACGTTGCCTGTCCAATTGGCTTCCCGTGTTGGGACCTTGGCCTCCTCCTCTTGTCTCTTGCTGGGCACAGATTCACTGTGTTGGCCCCAGCTTCTGCCCTTACAGTCCTGTTGGTTTCTGTCTGAGCCGGTCTCAGGCTTCAGGCCCCTGGCCCTGTTGCAGCCCTTCTGGAGACCTGAGCATGCTTCAGCTCTCACTGGGCCCCTGGCCCCTGTCTCCACCCTCCTTGGGGCACTGGGCCCTCTGGCCACAGTTTGCACCTTGACCTCGACCCCTGGCAGGACTCAAGGGGGTCCCGTGCCCCTTAGGCACTAATGGGACCTACAAAGCCGCCCCTTACAGTCGCACACAAACCACCAGCCGCTATAACAAAAGCACAATCCCTCTGGCTATAACAGCAAACAACCTGCTCTGCACCCAAAGGCAACCAGTGGCACCCTGTCTGCAGCCCCTTTGTCCTGCAAAGCAGCAGCAATCTGTTTCTCTCGCCCAAGACATCAGTGGTGCCAAGCAGGGGCAGTCCTGGCCCCTCCTGCCCTGGAGCTCCTTCCACAGCAGCCTCCAGGGCCAGGCTGCCTGCTCTGCAGCCGGACGTCACACCCGGTTTGGGCACGTGGCTCCTGGAGCTGCCGCAGGTGTTTCACGAGCAGGCTTGCTGCCTAGCCCCCAGGGCAGCGGCTGGCTGCTGACTGTGCTGCTGCAGCAGGGCCCGTGCTTCCCAGGCAGGGTCTGTCCTGCTGGATTATCACACTCACCAGCTCTGTGGCCGGCCCTGCTCACTTCCACCACTTCCCCAGACTGGCTTGTAGCCAGCTCTGCCTGCTACTCTTCCCTCCTCAAGTAACAGGAGCCTTGTGGCTGCGTTACACTCCCCATGGCCCGGGCACTGCTTGGCATCTGCTGCATCCATCCCACGGCTGGGCTGTGGGCAGAGCCAATGGCTTCTGGAAGGGCCCACATCCCTGGGGCTCCATAGCATCCCCAGCAGCCTCCCATGGCCCTGACTGGGGCATGGGTGTGAGCGGCTGCCTGTGCCCAGACTGCTGCCCGGAGACCTGGGTGCTGCACCACGGGAAGTGCCTGCTCCTCTCCAAGGAGAAGAAGAACTGGGAGGACAGCAAAGAGTGGTGTAAACAGAAATCTGCACGGCTCCTTGTGCTCCAGGACCAGGACCAGACCAAGATGCCGGTACAGGGCTGTGGGGTCTGGGGGCACAGCGGGAGGTGGGTGCCTGCTGGAGGTAGGGATCAGAAACCTGACTGGGGGTGAGATGCCGGGGCCAGGGCAGGGCAGGGCAGCCTCCCTGGTGGCATTTCCCTGGGGCTGGGCACCCCGCAGAGCATACCGAGGGTTTGGTGCTGTGCTGGCCCATCTCTGCCACCTTTGGCCCCTGGCTTCAGTGGGTCTGCAAGGGCTGGGGCCAGGAGCAGCTGGAGCTGATGCGGGTGCCTTGGATGTGTGCAGCCACCCAGGGGGCAGGTGCATGAGCTGGGGCCTGGTACCACTGGCCGTACCCCTGCCGTTCTCCTCCTGCTTCCCATCCACGGGCAGGGCCCATGGCCCCAGCTGCCCCGTGTCCTCTGGCTCCGGCTCTGGCCCTGGCCCAAGCCTGGGGCTGTTTCTGAGTGCTCGCTCCCTCCCTAGAGCTTCCTCACCAACACGGACGTCTCGTACTGGATCGGGCTTCAGCGAATCAGCAACGAATGGCTCAAATGGACTTGGGTCGATGGGACTCCATGGACTTGGGTCGATGGGACTCTGTACACAGGGTGAGCTGCACTCCGGTTCCTTGGCCCGGGAGCCCTGCTCAGTCCTGCCGTGGCCCCTGCACAAGGCCGTGGCATGTGGGGAGTGGGGTCAGGGAGGGGGCTGCCCTCGGTGGGAGACGGGCTCTGCGAGGGTGGGCAGTCACCGGGGAGGGGTGACCTAGGTGTCGTGATGCCTGTGCTCTACTATGGGATTTCTCAGGCTTCTGGACCGGTTGCCCCCCACCCCTTTCTCCTCCTTGTGTCAGGGGCTTTTAATCTCCCCCCGAGGTGCTGGTGCTGCTGCAGCCCAGGCTGGGGAGATGGACTGGGCTGTGCCAATGGTCCTGCTGGCACCAACGCCACAGGGTCCTGTCTGGAGGGTTTTGCCCTTGTGCTCAGGGTCAGACAGATGCTGCACTGGGACTAGGAGCAAATGTTCCACCCGGTCGGACTGGTCCAGACTGGTGTGGTTTTGCCTTCCTCTGCAGCGGGGGCCCAGCCTCTGCCTGGGGTCTCTTGGGTGTGTATTAATCCCCGTTGTAGCAGCAAGAATTTGGTGGCCATGGTCCCCCTGCTTTCCCTGGGGCAGGGGCAGGGGCAGGGGTAGGAGCAGGGAGGGAGCAATGCCTGGTGCACAGGTGTTCAGATGTTGGACAATGGATGTGTCTGGGCTGGTTTGCACAGGGATGATCCTGCCTCAGGCAGGGCTTGGACTAGATGTGATCTCTTCAGGTCCCTTCCAACCCCACTGCTTTAGGATTTTGATGAGGATCCTGGGCTGTGACAGCGCAGGGTAGAGTATGCTGAGGGCAGGGACAAGGTGCGGATGACCCAATTGCCTCCATGAGGTCTCTGTGCCAGGAGAGGGCTTTGCTCTGGCAGCTCCATTGCAGCCCAGCCAGGAGCAAAGGGCTGCCCACCATCTGTGTGGGATGGAGTAGGTAGGGTCTGGCCCAGGCATTATATTACCTTATGCAACCAATGGGAACAAGGAGATGGAGAGGACAGATGCGGGGAGATGAGACATGCAGAGGCTTGATAAGGGAAGCTAAAGATATGCTGGAAGCGACTGTGGTGGGCAGGGTGGGTCTCGGGGCTGCAAGGGACCCCAGGTTGTTCCACTCTCCCAAAGCGGGCTGAGAAATCACCAGGTGTTCAGCATCGAGTTGCAGGGGCTTCGTGGTCTGGGAAGCCAGGCTGGCGAGGGTCCGGTCGCGACGGGGAGGGAAGGATGAGGCACTGACTGCAGCCCTGCCCCAGGGAAGGGCTGTCTGACAGCAGATGTCACTGGCCCAGGAGCGAGGCCAGGGCTGAAGGCTGCTGCTGGGTGACATCAGGCAGGGATTGCATGAGCCCTGGGACCTTGCGTTGGGGTGTATGGGAGTCTCTGGCAGGGGTCAGGGTGCTTTGGGGATGGGGGGCCCATCAGCAGCTCAGTGACACCCGTCTCAGTTCCAGGTGGTGGGAGCTTGGATGGGAGCACAACTGTGGAGCAATGAAAGGGGGAAGCATGGTGGCCGCAGATTGCTTTTCCGATGACGCCAAGCTCCCTGCAGTCTGCGAGAAGCTGGCCCGCGAGCCCGGCATGCCCCCAGAGCCGTTTCTGTTCCCCCACTGAGGAATGAAGGAGACGGGCCTCTTGGCCTGCGGCCAGGACACTTCTCCACATCCCACTTGCACCCTGGAGCCAGGACTGCACAGAGGGCTCTGGGTGAGGGCGGACCAGGGCTGAGCAGAGCGCTGCCAGCCTCTCCCATCCCTGACCTAACGCTGCTGCTGATGCAGCCCAGGACGGCATTTGCTCTTTCTGCAGCTCCTCGCATGGCAGATGTGCTGGGCCCATGATGCACCGAAGCCCCACATCCTTCTCCGTAGCACTGCCCACAGCCACAAATCTCCCCTTCTGCCCCTGTGTTCACGATGCTTCCTCCCAAGGACAGTGCTGTGCATTGGTCAGCATTGGACTACATCCTGTCGGCTCCAGTCCAGCTTTCCAGTGTGTTGAGATCCTTAATGCACACGTTGAACATCACCAGGCCCAGGACAGACCCCTGCGGAGCTCTGCTCAAAGCCTCCTGCCGTCCTGGCGTGGACCCGGTCAGAATTACCGACCCCTTTGCTGGCGGCGATGGAGCCAGTTGTCTGCCCACCATAAAGCAGCTTTGAGCAGCCCACGTTTCTCCACTTTGTTTCTGAGGTGGTCTTGTGGGATCTTGTCCAAAGCCTTGCTGAAGTTCAGACATACAAAACCCATAGCAGGCCCTGCATCCATCCCTGCAGATACTCTGTTGTAGCAGGAGGTCAAGCTTGTTGGACACAACTTGTTTATAGTAAACCCACGCTGGCTGCTAGTGAGTGGCCTCCCCACCTCCACAGGCTTGCAAATGGCTTTCCTTAGCATCTGCTCCAGCATCTGCCTGGGGATCGAGGGGAGGGCAACGGGTCTAAAATTGCCCAGGTCCTCTCTTGTCTTTTCCAGACGGGCCCCACGCTGTCTAGGAAGGGGCTTGGTGGGACGATCTCTCATTGTGGACGGAGTACGTGGTTGGGAGAGAGACCAGGTGAGCTTTTGGGTCCAAAGGGCCCTTCCTGTGGGCTGCAGTCATAGCAAATGCAGCCACAGCTCAATTCTGAAGACAACAGAGACCAGATAAAGTACAAGCCACGTGGCATGTGGGGTGTTTCCTGCTTCCCCACTGCGACAACGCTCATGTCCTCATGCTCAGCTGGGTGCCAGCACCGTGCCCCAGCCCGCTGGACTTCACGGCTCCTTGTCATCTCCGTGATTCCTGCTAATCTCTTCACTCCACCGGTGCTAACGAACCTCTCTTCTTTCTAATGTTCTTAATATCCCACCAGCCAAACTGTCCTTTGTCCTGCCATACTGCTGTCTTCTCTGTGCTCCTAGTCCTGAAGCTCCTATTTCACAGACCTGCAGACTGTTTTTAACTCATTCCAGGGATGTTCTAGTTGTTTTTGCTCCAGTCTTACATTGAATAATTCAGTGCTAGCCTATGCATATTGGTAAAGCTTTTCATTTATTTTTAGCTGGAGAAAAATCTGTGTTATGCTAGATGTGAAGATGCACCTCACCTTCTGCAACCCTGCTTTTCAAAATATTAGATCCACCCAGGAATGTACTTATGCACCAGAGCAACATACTGTGGTCCCTCCCTCCCCTGCCCCCAGGGATTATTCCCTGTTCACACATGAAAAATGTCCTCAGAGGAGCCATGTCACCTGAAACAGTGCCAGACAAGGCACACACGAGCACAGCCATGCACGCCTGCCCACAACGCAGTGGTGTTAGCACCTGCCCACAGGCAGGAGCCCCTTTTATTGCCTTCCTGGAACCCAGGTGCTTGGATGGTGGGAGCCAGTTGAACACGGGTCTGCTGTGACTATGACCAAGGCACAAGGTGTCCTGGAGGACAGGTCCGCACTACCCAGCTGAGCTGCGGGGCAAGGCATGAGCTGCCAGTACCGTCTGGGGCTGCACTTGTCTGGGTCTGCTTGTGGGGTGGTGACGCTGAGTCCCTGGGCTCCAGTGCAGGCATGCAGTGCTTTAAGCCCGACAGGGACACTGCCTAAGCTGGGGCAGGCTATGCTCTGGGTGGTGGTGTGGAGGGTGGGCTCATACGGGTCTGTTATCCCTGGATTTATGAGCCAGTCCTGATACCTCATTCTGGGTGAGCACAGCCTTTCTAAATGACTGACCATGACCCCTTCCATTTGATAACAGGTGATTTTTATTGATACATGGTGACAGTAAATAAAATGAATGCAATCAAAATGATTATACAGTCCTATTTATTTACCAGTCCTAGGGTTTCACAAGGAGTCGGTATGTGTGGCCAGGACGCGAATGCCACCGCGTGATTCTTGCCTCAGCCAGGACATGAGCTGCCTTGGAGGTTGGGGGCCAATGGCCCACGCCTGAAAACTTGCCTGGGGAGTCCTCTTTTTGCACTCTTTTTCTCCTGGGGACTCATCATGCTTGGGGACCATTGACTGGTTTTCCTGTGGTCACCATGCTGTTCATGTTCTTCCCGGTCAACATAATCCCTTGTTTCTTAAAACATGTCATGTGCACACATCTTAATTCGGTCATTCCAGGTCTCCTAATTTCCTCATTCTACCAAAACCAGAGACTTCTCACCAAGTTACAGCTGGTCATCGTGATCTGATGCTAATTCTTCACGTTCCTATCTTGTTATGGGTTTTTTGGGGAAAAAAAGTACTTGTTTTGCTGCTGTATGTTTTCAGTTTCCCAGGATGTACGTGCCTGTCTCTCTGTTACCTTCAGACCCTTGGATGCTAAAATGCTGAGAAGGTGAATCTTTGCCACAAACATACTTGAGAAACCAACTGACCCTTGCTGTTCCCCTGGACAATCATTGTAATGCAAGCCAATGTCTTAAAGCAAATTTCTAAATATCATTCTTTAGCCATCAGGTCTGCTTGGAGGGTTACAAAGCTGAATCCCTGAGCTCCAGTGCAAGTGTGCGTGGCTCTAAGCCCAACAGGGACACTGTTCATGTCCCCTAGGGCGGGGGCAAGTGATGCTTTGGTGGTGGTACGGAGGAGGCAGGAGGTGGGAGCTAGCTGCTCACACAAGGGCAGCAACCAGCTGCCACAATAGAGCACAGAGCCAGGCCGGCAAGGGGTATCCCAATGCGGCGATGCCAGTGTGGGTGACCATAAAGCCGCTTTGTGCCCCAGTGCGGCGACGGGTGCAGCAGGCTGGCAAAGGCTTGCAGCAGACTGCATGCTCCAGGCTGGAGGAGTCTATAGGCTGGCAGGGACTACATCCAGCTGCCCGCAGGAAGGCTGGTCATGACAGGCCTGCTCGGACAGAGCCAGCTGTGAAAGGTAAGGGGCTGAACAAAGGAAGTTAAAAGACTCCCAGGGAAAGAAGTTGGGGAAACTCAGTGAGAAGAGAGACAAAGAGGAGGAAAGCTGCATTTGGCACTGGAGACCCCTTCTCAGGGGCTGTGAGTGAGCCCTGGGTGGACTAGGGTCATGTTTTGTTGCTGTGTGGTGTTTTTGCTGATACCTGAGAGGTCCGTGGGCCTGGGAAAAAGAAAACACCCTATAGGTAAAGGAGTATTAGAGTTGAGTGATCTCCCAAACCCATTACAAGGGGTTTGGGGCTGGAACCTCTGCAGGATGAGCCCAGCTCCAACACCAGGCCTTTACACTCACCACCCCCCAGCCCCAGCCCCAGCCCCAGCCCCAGCCTTGCCCTGTCTAAGCTGGGGAGGGGTTGTTGCTGCCGGAGCCAATGCCGGAGCCATGGCCGTGCCTGGCTGCGCCCATCTGGGGTGGAGGCAACTTCTGCTTCTGGCTGACACGCTAGCATTTCCCCCTTGCCAGGATGAGTCGCTTGTGCCCTGAAGCCTCGATGGGTGAGAGTGTGACATACGCCGACCTGCAGTTCTCCAGGGCCCCCCCGGGATGGAGCGCACCCCCCCGCACACAGGGGGCAGGTAGGAGCCAGCACCCCTCCCCACTGGGTTATGCCCCAGCCCCACACCGTAACCAGACCCTGTATTTGCAGCACCTCCAGCCCCACATGAGGCTGACAGCACCTACGAGAACCTGCATCTGGGCCCTTTGGGCGCGGGGCCGGCCGGGAGCGGGGCCCAGCAGCACAGAGGTGAGTGCGAGGCAGCAGGAGCCTAAAGCAGAGCTCACATCTGGATCAGATGTGCGAGAAGATCAAAGGTGCTGGGAGAAGTTCATGGGGGGCACAGATGAGCAGCTCTGGCTGTCCCAGGGGAGGGCTGCGGGGTGGCTCTGCTTGCTGTGTCCAGGCTGTCCCAAAGGTGGACAAATAGAGCTGTGCCCAGGCTGCAGGGCAGGGTGGGGTGTGTGGCTGCCCTGGGCTTTTCTGGTTGCCACAGGGGGCTGGGAAGGACTTTCCCCATGTCCTGTTGCTATAGATGTGGGGGGTGGGGGGGTCCTTCCTCAGCAGCTGGGTGTTGGCTGCATCCCAGGCTGGGGATGGGGACTGGACTGTGGCAATGCTCCTGCTGGGGTGAACCCCAGAGGGTCCTGGCTAGACGGTCTTGCCCCTCTGCTTGGGGTCAAACTGATGCTGCACTGGAGGCCAGGAGGAATTTCCCCCCTGGTCATATTGGTATGGATGGGGTTGGGGGGGTGTTTGCCTTCCTCTGCAGTGAGGCCACGGCCTCAACCTGGGACCTCCCCAGTGCATGGTCACAACAACCTTCTTGCTCTTGTAGCAGGAGGACGCTGGCACAGCTGTGGGTGCCGTGGGTGCTGGAGCTGGTCCCACAGCCCCTTGTCTCTTGTGGAGCCCCGATGGAGGGCGCGGCCCCTGCTCCTGGGCCTGCTGGCAGCCTGCCTGGCCCTGCTGGTCACCACCATCGCCCTGGGGGTCTGCTGTGAGTAGGGCTAGCAGAGAGCATGGGGCAAATGCTGGGGATGGGCAGGGGCGGGGCAGCATGGGAGATACTGGGGTGCCTGGGCCTGGGGGCAGGGGTGTGAACCTCGTGCAGGAACAGGCACTGCCTTGGGAGGCTCCCGCCAGCTGCAATGTTCCCGGGGCCTGGGTGGTTGGAAGGAGGTGTGAACATTGGGGGGTCCTACCCCTGCCATGGCTGCAGCCCCCAGCCCCCGGTGCCAAGGCCTGGTCCTGGTGCTGACAGTCCCGTGCCCGCAGACGGGCAGCAGGGGCAGCGGCTGCAGCAGGCATCCCGCGCCCACGCGGCCGAGCGCCACGGCCTGTGGCAGCAGACAGGTGCCCAGGAGCAGCAGCTGGGGCAGGCGCATGCGGTGCTGGCACGGGCCCAGGAGGAGCTGGCACAAACCCGAGTGGAGCTGGCACAGGAGCAGGAGAAGGGGACCCATAGCCAGAAGGAGCTGCAGGAGACCAAGACGGTGCTGCGGGAGACCAAGGTGGACCTGGAGCGGGCGCAGGAGCAGGTCAGAAACCTGCAGCAGCAGCTGGATGAGACTGCGAGAGCCCTGGCCAGTTCCCGGCCCTGCCAGGTCACAGGTACTCCAGGGCAGGACAGGGTGGGCCGCGGGGCACCTCAGGGCTGGTGGTTTGGGTGGGACAGCCCTTCTGCCCCTGGCAGTGCTGGGCCCAGGCCCCTTAAGGAGAGGGTGGGGGTATCACTGTGGGAGGAGAGAGCGCTGGGGAGGGCACCCCGCATCCTGGGCTGGCAACCCCGGACCTCCCGTCCTCCCCCTCCCCTGCTGCCTGTAACCCGGTCGTGCCCAGGGGTGGCTGTGATACCCCATGTCCCCGTAACCCATGCCCCACTCTGCCTCCAGGGTACCTTTCCCTCCTTCTCACCCTCCACACCCTGATGTACTTACTGGGTTGAAAGGGAGGCTGCGCAAGGGTCCTAGTGCCAGCCTCAGTCTGTCTAATAGCCAGCCAGCCCCTCCTGGACACCGCTGGTCTCCATCCTGCCCTTAAGCTGAGTGGTCACTCTCAGCCTGTCCATGCCCAGGGCACCTGTAAGCCTTAAGGGTGAACTACAGGGCTCCAACCGCCCCTTACACCATGCACATGTGTATGGCCCGTTCAACCGGTTTCCCTTCACGGGACCTCGGTCACTTGGCCTCCGCCCCTGTTTTCTTGCTGGACACAGATTCACCATGTTGGACCCAGCTTCTGGGCTCCAGCCCTAGTCTCACCCTATCGGGCTCTGGGTGAGCCCCTCTTGGGCCTTGGGCCCCAGGCCCCGGTTTTCTTGCTTCTCAGGCACTGGATCTGCCCTTTGCACGCCCAAGGCCTCGGCCCTGTCTCAGCTTCTCGCAGCCAACTAGCCTGCTGCGGCTCTCGCTGGCCCCCTTGTCCCTGTCTCCACCCTTCCTGGGTGCTGGTCCTGTGGCTTTTGCGTCCACCTTTCTCAGGGCACTGGGGCCCCTGGTCCCAGTTTTCTCCTTGAGCCTGACCCCTGGCAAGACTCAATGGCTTCACATGCCCCTAGGCACTAATGGGACCTCCAAAGACACCCCTTACTGTCCATCCAAGCCACCAGCAACTATAACAAAAGGTAAACCCTCGGGCTGTAACACCAGCTCGCCTGCTCTGGGTCCAAACAACCAGTGGCAACGTGTCTGCAGCAACAGGCCTCCTGTTGTCCTGGGTCCCATTGCTCTGCAAGGCAGCTGCATTTTGTTGGTCTCCCCCAAGGCAACACAGGTGCCAGCGAGGGGCTCTCCCGGCTCCTCATGCTGCAGAGCTCCTTCCGCTGCGTCTCCAGGGCCAGACTGCCTGCTCTGGCTCAAGCCCTGGGTTCCTGCAGCTGGAAGTCATGCCTCATTTGGGCACCTGGCTCCCTGAGCTGCCACAGATATTTCATGAGTAGGCTTGCTGCCTAGCCCCCGTGCAGCTTACTGCGGCTGGCCGTGCTGCTGCAGCAGGGCCCGTGCTTCCCAAGCAGGTTCTTCCTTGCTGGATTAACATGGTCACCAGCTCCGTGGCAGGCCCTGCTTGCTTCTGCCACTTCCCCTGGGTGGCTGTTTTCCTTGTAGCCAGCTCTGCCTGCTACTCTTCCCTCCTCAAGTAACAGGAGTCTTCTGGCTGTGTTACACTGCCCCTCGGCCTGGGCACTGCCTGGCTCCTACCACATCTGCCCCAGGGCTGGGCTGTGGGCAGAGCTGACATCCCCTGGAAGGGCTGGTGTCCCTGGGGCTCCATAGCATCCCCTGGCACCGGCCCTGACAGCGGGGTGGGTGTGAGTGACTGCCTGTTCCCAGACTGCTGCCCGGAGACCTGGGTGCTGCACCGTGGGAAGTGCCTGTTCCTCTCCAAAGAGGAGCAATCCTGGGAGCAAAGCAAACAGAGATGTGAACAGGAATCCTCCCAGCTCCTCATCCTCCTGGACCAGGACCGAGACTGGGACCGGGACCGGAACCAGCACTGGGACCAGACAAAGATGCCGGTATGGAGCCGCGGGGCCTGGGGGTGCAGCGGGAGGATGGTGCCTGGCGGAGGTGGGGATTGGAAAACCTGCCTGGTAGCGAGATGCCAGGAGCAGGGTTTGCCAGGGTGAACCACATGTAGGCAGGGCAGGGCAGGTGTCCGTGGGGCTGGGTTGCTCCAGGCTCCTGCAAGGGGCCCAGGTCAGAAAGCAATTGCAAGGGATTCAGTGTCCCTTGATGTCTGCAGCTGCCAGGGGGAGGTGCATGAGGTTGGGGGCTGGTGCCAATCCTGTTCCCTGCCTGGTGGGGCTCGAGGGCTGATTCAGAGTGGTCGTTCCCCCCCTAGAGCTTCTTAACCAACACAGATGCCTCGTACTGGATTGGGCTCTGGAAGAACAAGGGCCGGTGGACGTGGATCAATAAGACTCCGTACCCAAAGTGAGCTGCGCTCCGGGTCTTCATCTTGGGAACCCTGTTCAGCTCCTTTTACGTGGTGCACGGGGAGGGACATCAGGGTCGGGGCTGCACTCGGTGGGAGGGCAGGATCCGCACAGCGCAGGCAGGGGAGGCCGCCAGGAGCCTTGGTCCCAGGCTGCGCCTGTGCCAGGAGCTGTCTGCATGGACTGGGCTTGGCTCTGGCAGCCCCGCTGCAGCCCGGCCAGGACCAAAGGGATGCTTGCTGGCTGCCCGCCAGCCCTGTGGGCTGGGGATGGGGCTGTGGCCCAGGCAGGGGGATGCAGGGGTCAGACTGGCTGGAACTGGGGCTGGGCCCTGGCTGCGGCCGGACAGGTGGGTCCTTGCAGGGGCGGGGATGGTCTGGGGGGCATCTGTCTTTGCAGCAGCTGGAAACTTAAAGGCCGTGGTCCATCTGTCTTTGCAGCAGTTGGAAACTTAAAGGATCTAGTAATTATGGAGTAATTAGAAGGGGCAGTATAGAAACCTCATACCGTTACAAGCACCACTGGGTATGTGAGAAGCCGGCTAGCCGCCCACGGGAAGGCACAGAGGCTGTCCTCGCGGTGTGAAGAAAGGAGGCCCTGTGAGTATGGGAGCACATGCTGGCACTGGGTACCCTTGCTGCATCCTAGTGCCCAGGGACTTGTGCGTCCTTCCCTTCCCCTGCTCTGCCTCTCAGCAGCCCCAGCTCACCCTGCCCCTTGCCTTCCAGCTCCCGCCGCTCCAGCACGGCCGCGCCTGGCGCGCTTCTCTCCCTGCTCCCTGCACGCAGCACTGCCTGCTCTCCGGCCCTGCCCCAGCCTGGCTGCCCTTGCCCCGCCACCCCCCCCTCCAGCACCTTCATCCTGCCCGTCGTCCTGCAGCCCAGACCCACGCGGGCTTCCTCGTGCAGCTGCAGCGCACTGCAGACTCCTCCAGGGTCTGGCACTTCCCGAGACGCCCAGGTCCTTCTCCGCCGCGCTGCCCCCAGCTGCGTCTCATCCACTCTGTGCCTGTGCCCATGATCCTTCCTCCCGAGGACAGCGCCGTGCATGTTTCCATACTGACCTGCATCCTGTCATCTCCAGCCCGGCTTTCCAGTCTGTCAAGATCCATCTGTGCTGCGCTGACGTCCTCCAGCGTGTTCACAGCCCTTCCCAGTGTCGTGTCAGAGCCGGGGCCATGGATGGACACGTCGAGCAGCCCCGGGCCCCAGGCAGACCCCTGTGGGGCTCCGCTCGAGGCCTCCTGCCGTCCTGCCGTGGACCCGGTCAGAACGACCGACCCCTTTGCTGGCGGCGATGAAGCCAGTTGTCTGCCCACCGTGCAGTAGCTTTGTGCAGCTCATGCTTCTCTACTTAGTTTATGAGGAGTCGTGCAGGGATGTAACCGGGTTTATCTCCGGGGATGGCTGTAGTGCCCTGGAGTCCCCTCAGCCCTTATCCCTTTTGTTTTGTTTGGGCACTTGCCCCTTCATTCCCTGCCGCGCTGCATGTCTCTCTCTTTTCGATAAAAGGAGGCTGCTCCAGGGCTTCCGAAACGTGCTCTTGCTCTCATGATCACACATGTCCCTGCTCATTGCCTTCAGGGCCAATTAGGTGGCTCCAACCTCCCCTTTACACCATGCCCTTGCCTTGTGGATCATACTCCTTTCCGCTGGGCTACAGGGTCTCCTTGCCCCTCTTGGGCTATGGATGCATCTTTGGCCCCTCTCTGTGGGTCCTGGCCCAGCTCCTAAGCCAGTCGAGACTCCTGGTCTCCCAGGGCCCTGCCAGTCTCCAGCTGTGGCTCTCCTCGGCTTTGGCCAAACTCTGGGCCCTGGCCCCACTCCTGGGCCAGTGACCCATTCGGACTCCTTGTCTTTGCTGACACTCGCCCCTCTCTGGGCTCTGGGACCACTGGCCCCAGACTCTGCCCTATTCCGAGGTCTGGCCTTGCTCCCAGCGATTGGGACCTCCTTACCTCCCCTTCGTCCCTTCCTCAGACACCCAGGGGTGCGTGCCCAGGCTCCGATGTCACTCCAGCCCTGCTGCCAGGAGCGCCTCTCTCTGGTCCCCAGGGCTAGACTGCAGGACCAAGGCTCCCTCTAAGGTGCGTGTCTGCGCACAACTAAAAGTGCGGCCGTGCACCAGGAGAGGCTGGAGCTGGGGACCGGTGTGGACACTGCTGACTCCAGGGAAGTGGTCTGCTCCCCTGCATCAGGGCCGGGGAGTGGAGCACTTCCCAGGAGCTGGCGGAGCCCACCCCAGCCTCCACCCCTGCCTTGCTTCACCTCGGGGAAGAGCCGCTGCCTGCCCCAGTGAGGCTCCGCCGGCTCTGGACACTGCGGGACATACCCCCCGCGGCCATGTGGGGAGCGGAGCACTTCCCTGGAGCCAGCGGAGCCCATGCCAGCCCCTACCCACCAGCCCCAGCCAACAACCACCCACCCCTGGATCCGGCCCCTGGCCCCCGGCCCCAGCCTCTGGCCACTAGCCCCAGCCTCCAGCCCCTGGCCCCAACCCCTGTCCCACAGCCCCTGTCCCCCGGCCCCAGCCAGCTTTTGGGCCCAAAGGGCCCTTCCTATGGGCTGGAGCTGCAGCAGCTGCAGCCTCAGCTCAGTCCTGAAACAACAGAAACCAGATCAAGTGCAAGCCGTGTGGCACGTGGGGTGTTTCCCACTACACCCGTGCCCTGTGGCCTGGGCAAGGGTGACCCAGTGCCCCCATCTCCGAGGGCCCCATAGCCAGGAGGGGCAAAGCCCCATCGGAGCCGAACCGGCTGCAGGGACCTGTGGTTCCTGATGACCCTAGACACGACGCAGGGACCTGTGCCCTGAGGGCTGGGGCTCAGCCCCATGGGGTCCCCTTGCCCACAGCCGGTACTGGCAATGCTGTGAGGAGGCTCCAAGGTGGTGGGAAGGTCCCAAGCAAGGCTCCTGACTTGGTGTTGTGACGGTATGGTGCAGGAACGTGATGTCTGTGCATTGCCCATTGCACACGGTGCAGTCTCTGTTGATGGTGCTGTGCCGTGTGCCCCGCAACAACAGAAGAGCTGCCCTGGCCCTACCCTGTCTCTAGTGTCACACGACAGCAGAGAGCGGAGGCTGAAGGGGAGTGACGGGGTCTGACCGGGGTTGATCCCCGTTCCTCTCTCCCCTGCAGCCTCCAGCACTGGAGGTCCAGGCAGGTCTGATGCAGAGGCCGTGCCCTCACTCCCTGCTCACTAGCCACCGATGCCTCTTTCCTCCAAGCACGTGTCCAGTCCCTTTTTGGGATGGGGGAGTCAACTAGATGCTGGTGTGGGCACCCGAGAAGCGCCTGGTGCCTGAAGATGGTGAAGGGGGCTGGGGCTGGACCCAGTGCAGGATGAGCCTGGCTCCAGCACCAGGCCATGCCATTAAACCCTGGCCAACTGGACCCACCCCAGTCCCTGCCCCCCACCCAGCCCTTTTGGCATAGGGGGAGGGCAGGGTCCCAGCTGCCAGAGCCAATGGCAGGGCAGTATCCATGCTTGGCCGCCCCCACCTGCTGCTGGGACCACTTCTGCTTCTGCCTGATGCTCTGCACTTCCCTCCTGCCGGGACGCACCACGCCACGCCATGCCACGTGCCGCGCCGGCCCCAACAGCTCAGCACCTGCTCCGTGCCCCACAGCCGGGATGGGCGAGAGCGTCACGTACGCTCACCTGCGGTTCTCCAAAACCCCCCCAGGATGGAGCGCAGCCCCCCGAGCACAGAGGGCAGGTAGGAGCCAGCACCCCTCCTGCCCAGACCCGGTCCTGCCCAGACCCACCCCCTGACCACCGCCTGTGTCTGCAGCCCCCCGAGCCCCGGGCGAGGCTGACAGGAGCTACGAGAACCTGCATCTGGGCGCAGTGGGCGCGGGGCCGGCCGGGAGCAGGGCCCAGCAGCGCAGAGGTGAGTGTGAGGTAGCAGGAGCCTGAAGCAGAGCTCACAGCTGGATCAGGTGTGCGAGAAGATTTAAGGAGCTGGGAGAAGTCCGGGGGCGGGGGGCACAGATGTGCATCTCTGGCTGTGTGGGCAGAGGGCTGTGGGTTGTGCTTGCTGTGCCCAGGCTGCAGGGCAGGGTCGGGGTGTGTGGCTGTGCCAGGCGCGGGGCTTGGCCGGTGACCATGTGGGGCTGGGAAGGAATTTCCCCCCCTCCTCTTCTACAGATGCGAGGGGGGGTTGTTTCCTTCCTTAGCAGCTGGGTGCTGGCTGCAGCCCAGGCTCGAGATGGGGATGGGGCTGGGCCAATGCTTCTGCTGTGACCAACCCCGCAGGGTCCTTGCTAGAGGGTCTTGCCCTTTGCTTAGGGTCAGACTGATGCTATACTGGGGGAAGAAAATAATTTCTCCTCTGGTCAGACTGGTACAGACTGGGGGGGTTTGCCTTCCTCTGCAGCAGGGCCGTGGCCTGAGCCCGGGGTCTCTCCAGTGCATGGTCACAATGTCCTTCCTGCCCTGGCAGCAGCAGGATGCTGGCCATGCTGCGCTGGCTGCAGGTGTTGGGGCCAGTCCCTCGGTGCCTCGTCTCTTGCAGAGCCCCGGCGGAGTGTGTGGCCCCTGCCCCTGGGCCTGCTGGCAGCCTGCCTGGCCCTGCTGGTCACCACCATCGCCCTGGGGGTCTGCTGTGAGTAGGGGTCTGCTGCGCTGGCAGGGAGTGGTGGGGATGCTTGGGCTGGGGGCAGGGGTGTGAACCCCTGCATGGGCAGGGCACTTGGGGGGAGGCGGTGGGTCCCTGAGCCAAGGAGGAGCCGTAGTGACTGGGGTAACTTGCACCGTGGGGTCGTCTGGGGAGACCCGGCACTAGGGCCAGCCCTCGTGGGAAGAGGAGGTGCAGAGGAGCCCTGGCTGGTGCCCTGGTACGCGGCTAGCCCTGGTGCCTGGTGCCTGGCTGCCTGTAGGCACATGCACAGCTCCTGCCTGGCTGTGTCCGTGCCCTGGTTCTGCCTTGGGAGGCCACCACCGGCTCCACTGTCCCTATGGCTGGGGGGTGGTTTGGGGGTAGGAGTGAGCCTAGGGGGGTCCTGCCCTGCTGCAGCCGCAGCGCCCAGCTGGAGGTGCCCGGTTCTGGCCCTTGTACTGACGGCCCCGCGCCCACAGACTGGCAGGAGAGGCAGCGGCTGCAGCAGGCATCCCACTCACATGCAGCCGAGCGCCACGGCCTGTGGCAGCAGGGGGGCACCCAGGAGCAGCGGCTGGGGCAGGCGGGTAAGGCGCTGGTGCAGGCCCAGGAGGAGCTGGCACGGACCCGAGCGGAGCTGGCACAGGCCTGGCAGGAGGGGAACCGCAGCCAGGAGGAGCTGCACAACCGGGACACAGAGCTGCAGGAGACCAAGGTGCAACTGGGCCAGGTGCAGGAGCAGGCCTGGGACCTGCAGCAGCAGCTGAACAAGACTGAGAGTGCCCTGGCCAGCGCACGGCCCTGCCAGGTCACAGGTACCCCAGGGCGGGGCAGGGCAGGGCAGGGAGTGGGCACCCCCAGGGCTGGCAGTGCATCAGGACAGCCCTTCCCTGCAGGCAGTGCTGGGGCCGGGCCCCGTGGGGAGATGGTGGGGACATCACCGGTGTCCTGGCCTGGCTCCCCCGGACTTCCCACCCCCCGTCCCCTGCTGCCCCGCGGCCTGGGCACTGCCTGGCTCCCACTGCGTCTGCCCCAGGGCTGGGCTGTGGGCAGAGCCGATGGCTCCGGGGGGGGGCACTGGCTCCGGGGAGGGCCACATCCCTGGGGCTGGGTAGCTCCCCCAGCAGCAGCCCGTGGCCCTGGCACCAGCCCTGACAGGGGTGCGGGCGTGAGCAGTTGCTTGTTCCCAGACTGCTGCCCGGGGACCTGGGTGCTGCACCGCGGGAAGTGCCTGTTCCTCTCCAAAGAGGAGAAGAACTGGTGGGACAGCAAACGCGAGTGTGAAAATAATTCCTCCCGGCTCCTCATCCTCCATAACTGGGACCAGACGAAGATGCCGGTATGGGGCCGCAGGTTCTTGGGGCGCAGTGGGAAGGCGGTGCCTGGTGGAAGAGGGGGTTGGAAAACCTGCCTGGCAGTGAGATGCTGGGGGCAGGGCAGGGCGAGGCAACCTCCCTGGTGGGCATTGCCCTCAGGCTTCCCTCAGCAAGGGCCTTGGGCCAGGAAGCATCTGGAATTGATGTGGTTGCCCTTAAAGTCTTTGGGTACCAGGGGGCAGGTGTGGGAGATGGGGCTGGTGCCTCCCCGGTTCCCCACTGACTGGAGGTTTTGGGGCTGTCACTCCCCCTCCAGAGCTTCCTCACCAACACAGATGACTTGTACTGGATTGGACTCCAGAAGGACTGGCGTGGCAAGGACAAGTGGATTTGGATCAATGGGACCCAGTACCCGGAGTGAGCTGTGCTCTGGTTTCTTCCTGTCACACATGTCATATGGGGAGCGGGCTCAGGGCAGGGGCCGCGCTGGGTGGGAGGACAGGAGCTGCCAGGAGCTGCCTGTATGGACAGGGCTTGGCTCTGGCAGCCCCGCTGCACCTGGCCAGGAGCAAGGAGCTGGCTGTTGGCCTTGTGGGACAGGGTGGGGGGCTGTGGTCCAGGCAGGGGCTGCAGGGGTCAGACTGGCCGGACTGAGCCCAGGTAGCAGCTGGGCAGGTGGGGCCTTGCGTGGGCTGGGCTGGTCTGGCGCCCTGACATGACTTCTGTCTTTGCAGAGGTCAGAGACTTAAAGGTTTTGGTTCTTATGGAGCAATTAAATGGGGCAGCATAGTGAGACAAGAGTACTTTAACAAGCTTCGCTGGGTGTGTGAGAAGGCAGCTGGCCGCCCTCAATGAGCTGCAGAGACGATCCCCGGGGTATGAAGACAGGAGGCTCCGTGAGTACGAGGATGCGTGGCCACACTGAGTGTCCTCGCTGCACCCTGGCACCCAGGCACTCCTGTGCCCTTCTCCCCTGGCAGTGGGAGCCCTGTGCCCCGATGCAGGAGCATGGCCGGGGGAGAGGGGCTGTGCTCTGCCTCTCAGCAGCCCCAGCTCACCCTGCTCCTTGCCTTCCAGCTCCTGGTGCGCTTCCCTCCGCGCTCCCAGCACGCAGCACTGCCCGCTCTCCTGGCCCTGCCCTTGCCCAGCCACCTCCCGCCTCCGGCACCTGCATCCTACCCGTCCTGCAGCTCAGACCCACGTGGGCTTCTTCGTGCAGCTGCAGCACACTGCAAACTCCTCTTGAGTCTGGCACCTCCCGAGACGCCCAGGTCCTTCTCCGTAGCACTGCCGCAGTCATGTCTCACCCGCTCTGTGCCTATACCCATGATCCTTCCTGCAGCACCATGCATTTGTCCGCACTGACCTGCATCCTGTTGGTCCAGCCTGGCTTTCCAGTCTGTCAAGATCGGTCTGCACTGCACTCTCATCTCCCACCATGTTCACAGCCCTTCCCAGCGCCATGTCATCTGTAACTTGCTCCAGAAGCTTTCTGTGCCAGTGTCCAGATCATGAATGGACACACTGAGCAGCCCTGGTTGCAGGACAGACCCCGTGGAGCTCTGGTCAAAGCCTCCCGCCATCCTGACATGGACACTGTCAAAATGACCAACCTCTTTGCTTGCGGTGGTGTAACCGGTTGTCTGCCTACCGTATAGGAGCTTTGTGCAGTCCACACATCTCCACTTGGTCTATGAGGAGGTCATGTGGGACTTTGCCCAAAGCCTGGCTGAAGTGCAGACATACGACACCCACAGCGGGCCCGTTGTCCATCCCCACAGTAATTCTGTTGTAGCAGGAGATCAAGCTTGTTGGACACGATTTGTTCATAGTAAACCCACGCTGGCTGCTCAGGATCGCTCTTTCCTCCTCCACATGTTTGCAAATGGGCCTTCCTTAGTGTCTGCTCTGGTAACTTCCTGTGGATCGAGGTGTGGGTGACGGGTTTATAATTCCCCAGATCCCCTTTTGTCTTTTCCAGAGAGGAGCCTCACATTGCCCTTGTGCTGTCCTCTGGAGCCCACCTGTGCCCCACGACTTGGTCAGTGCCATTGCTGAGGGCCCTGAGGTCCCCTCTGCCAGGCCCTTCAGTGCCCGGGGTGCAGTTCCTGAGGCTCTGCTGACCTGAGTTCACGCAGACCCATCAGACAGTGTCTAGAAAGGGCGCTGGTGGGGTGATCTCCATTGTGGACCAAGTCCGTGTCTGGGAGAGAGGCCAGATGATCTTTTGGGCCCAAAGGGCCTTTCTGCGAGCCAGAGCCATAGGAGCTGCAGCCTCAGCTCAGCCCTGAAGACAAGAGAGGCCAGATAGACTGCAAGCTGTGTGGCATGTGGGGTGTTTCCTGCTTCCCCACCAGGACAACAGTCATGTCCCCCACGCTCAGCTGGGTGCCAGCACCGTGCCCCAGCCCACTGGACTTAATGGCTCCTTGTCACCTCCATGATTCCTGCTAATCTCTTCACTCCACCGGTGCTAACAAACCTCTCTCCTTCCTAATGGTCTTGATGTCCAGCAACTTACCTAGCCTTTGTCCTGCAATGCTGCTGTCTGCTCTGTGCTCCTGGTCCCATAGCTCCTATTTCACAGACCTGCAGACTGTTTTTAACTCATTCCAGGAATGTTCTAGTTGTTTTTGCTCCAGTCTTAATTTGAATAACTCAGCTCTAGCCTGGGCATATTAGCAAAGCTTCTCATTTCTTTTTTGTTGGAGAAAAATCTATGTTGTCTTAGATGTGGTAATGCACCTCACCATCTGCACCACCCCTTTTCAAAATCTTAGATCTGGCCATGAATATACTTATGTACCAGAGCCAATGTACTGCGATCCCTCCCATGCCTGCCCCTAGGGATTATTCTCTATTCACACTTGCAAAGTGTCCCCAGAGGAGCCACATCACCTGAAATAGCACCAGACAAGGCACGCACGTCCATAGCCATGCAGGCCTGCCCAGAATACAGCGGTGTTAGTGCCTGTCTGCAAGCAGAAGCTCCCTTCACCGTCTTCCTGGACCCCAGGTGCTTGTACGGTGGGAGTCAGCTGAGCACGGGTCTGCTGTGACTATGACCAAGGCACAAGGTGTGCTGGAGGACAGGTCCACACTACCCAGCTGAGCTGCGGGGCAAGGCGTGAGCTGCCAGTACCGTCTGGGGCTGCACTTGTCTGGGTCGGTTGTTCTAGTTTTATGAGCCAGACTGAATATCTTGTTCCAGGCAAGCACAACCTTTCTAAATGACTGACCATGACCCCTTATGTTTGATGATAGTCAAATCTTATTGATAAACAGTCATAGTAAATAATATGAATACAAGCAAACCAAGCTAAATGACTACACAGTCCTACTTCTTTACCAGTCATAGTGTTTCACAAGGAGATGGTGCGTCTGGCCAGTACACAAACACCATATCATGGTTCTTGCTTCATCCAGACGTCAGCTGCCTTGGAGGTTGGGGGTCAATGCACTGCTCCCCAAACTGTCACCCAGGGATTCCTCCTTTTGTATTCTCTTTCTCCTACTGACTCTTCATTTTGGGGTACTGCTGATTGGTTTTCCTCATGGTCATCATGCTGTTCATGTTCTGCCGTCAGCATAATCCTTTGTTTCTTTTAACATGTCATATGTGCACATCTTAATTTGGTCATTTGTTGATGTCATCATTTGGTCATTCTCGGTCTCCTGATTTGGTCATGTCACGAAAACCTGGGATTTCCCACCAAGTTACAGCTGGTCATTGTGACCTGATGCTAATCCTTCACATTCCTATCTTTGTTCAGGTTTTCAGGGAACAAAGTGCTTGTTTTGCTGCTGCATGTTTTCAGTTTCCCAGGATACATGTTCCTGTCTGTTTGCTAACTTCAGACCCTTAGATATTAAAATGCTGAGAATGTAAATCTTTGCCACAAACAAATTTGAGAACCCAATTAACCCTTGCTGTTCCCCTGGACCATTGTTCAAAGGCAAGCCAATTATGTAAAAGAAAATTTCTAAATATCACTCTCTAGCCATCAGGTCTGCCTGGGCTCCGGTGCAAGTGTGCAGGGCTCCGAGCCCAACACGGACACTGCTCCTGCTGGGGCAGGCGATGCTTTGTGTAGGGATGTGGAGGCACCAGTTAGCTGTTCACATGAGGGCAGCAACCAGCTGCCACAATATGGTGCAGAGACAGGCAGGGAAGAGGTATACCAATGGGATGATGCCACAGTGGGTGACCGTGAAGCCCCTTTGTGCCACAGTCCCCAATGTGGAGAGGGGTGCAGCAGGCTGGCAAAGGCTTGCAGCAGACAACGCGCTCCAGGCTGGAGGAGTCTGTAGGCTGGCTGGCATTACATCCAGCTGTGGGCAGTAGGGCTCATGACAGGCCTGCTCGGAGGACAGAGCCAGCTGTGAAAGGTAAGAGGCTGAACAAAGGAAGTTAAAAGGCTTCCAGGGAAAGGAGTTGGGAAGACTGAGCAAGCAGAGACAAAGAGGAGGAAGGCTGCACTGGGTGCTGAGGGCTGGAGACCCCTTCTCAGGGCCTGTGAGATAACCCTTCAAGGACTGTGAGTGAGCCCTGTGTGGACTAGGTTCATGTTTGGGTGCTGTGGGGGGTTTCTGCTGCTTCCGGAGAGGTCAGTGGGATTGGGAAACAGACACTTATGTACAGTTAAAGAACTATAGTTAAAGAAGATCTGGACCGGGAATTTGCAGGTCAGCTCGCGGAGGCAGTTAAGTCAAGGGACGTGGTCATCATGGGTGACCTAAACTATCCGGACGTCTGCTGGGAAGAGCAGTCAGACAGGTCTGGCCGCTCACGTAGGTTCCTAGCTGAGATACAGGACCTCCATCTAACCCAAGGGTGCACAGCCCCACCAGAGGAGACGCCTTGTTGGACCTGGTCCTGGCCACGGGAGACGACCTGGTGAGGGGGCTGCGGGTGCTCGACCACCTGGGCGACAGCGACCATTGCCTGCTGGCATTCACCATCCGGTGCAAGGGGACAAAGGCTTGCAGCAAGGCAGCAACCCTGGACTTCAGGAGGGCGGATTTCATTGAGGTAAAGAGACTAGTCGGGGAGGCACTGAGGTCCCGGAGGGGAGAGGAGAGGAGTTGGGAGTCCAAGAAGAGTGGTTGTTCCTGAAGGAGATGATCCTCCAAGCCCAAAGGGTGATAATCCCAACATGGATCAAAGGGGGCAAGAGGGCATAAAAGCCCTCCTGGCTCACCAAAAGCATACGGGAACATCTCAAACCTAAGAAGGAGGCGTACACGCAATGGCAGGGAGGGGCCATCCCCAGGGAGGACTACACCTCAGGTGCTCGGGGCTGCAGGGGGGAGGTCAGGAAGGCCAAGGTGGAGATGGGACTGGGACAAGTGACCCGGATCAAGGACAACAAGAAGTCCTTTTTTAAATACATAGGGGGTAAAAAGAAGGTACCGGGTAATGTGGGGCCTCTGCAGGACACGGTAGGAAGTCTGGTTGTCACACCAGATTGCAAAGCTAACCTATTTAACGATTTCTTTGCCTCCATTTTTCTAAGCAGGGACCAGGTCATCCCCCCACACCGGGATTCCCAATGATCACAGGGAAGATGCAGCCGGGCCCAGGGTCAGTGAGGATCTAGTCAGGGAACTTCTGGTGGGACTGGATGTGTTCAAATCAGCAGGTCCTGACGATCTCCACCCCAGGGTGCTGAGGGAATTAGCAGGGGTCATTGCGGGACCCCTGGCACGGCTTTACGAGCACTTGTGGTGCTCTGGCGAGGTGCCAGAGGACTGGAAAAGGGCCAATGTGGTTCCCATTTTCAAAAAGGGAGGAAGGAGGACCCAGGGAACTACAGGTCCATTAGTCTTACCTCGGTCCTGGGGAAGCTTTTTGAGAAAATTATCCAGGAGCACATCTGCAGGGGGCCAGCAGGGGAGGTGATGCTCAGGGGCAACCAACATGGGTTCGTTCAAGGCAGGTCTTGTCAGACCAACCTGGTGGCCTTCTATGATCAGGTCACCAAATCCTTGGACACAGGTCGCGGTGGACGTAATCTTTCTGGGCGCCGCACTTCAGGAGGGATGCGGACAACATGGAGAGGGTCCAGAGGAGGCCACCCGCATGATCCGGGGGCAGCAGGGCAGGCCCTACGAGGAGAGGCTACGGGACCTGAACTGTTCAGCCTCCACAAGAGAAGGCTGAGGGGGGACCTGGTGGCCGTCTATAAACTGGCCAAGGGTGATCAGCAGGGAATGGGAGAGTCCCTGTTCCCCCGAGCACTCCTGGGAGTAACAAGGAATAATGGCCATAAGTTGACGGAGAGTAGATTCAGACTAGACATCAGGAGGCGCTACTTCATGGTCAGGGCGGCTAGGAGCTGGAGCCATCTTCCAAGAGAAGTGGTGCTGGCTCCTACCCTGGGGGTCTTCAAAAGGAGGCTAGATAAGACACCTTATTGGGGTCATTTGACCCCAGCATCCTTTCCTGCCATGGCAGGGGATCAGACTTGATGATCTGCTCAGGTCCCTTCTGACGCTACCAACTACGAAACTATGAAACTATGACAGTTTGAGATGAGTGATTCCCCAAAACCATTGCAATAGGTTTGGGGCAGGAAGCAGTGCAGGATGAGCCCAGCTCCAACACCAGGCCTCTGCATTCAACATGCCCCAGCCTCAGCTGCAGCCCTGGGGCCCCTTGCCTTGCCCTGGCTGAGCCCGGGGCGGGGGGGGGGGGGGGGGGGGGGCCAGGCCTGTGGCTGCCGGAGCCAATGGCAGGGCTGTGGCCATGCTTGGCTGCACCCCTCTCTGGTGGAGGAAACTTCTGCTTCTAGCTGACGCTCTAGCATTTACCTCTTGCCAGGACAAGCATCTCCAAGCCTTGATGCTGGGATGGGTGAGAGTGTGACATAAGCTGATCTGCAGTTCTCCAGGGCCCCCCTGGGACGGAGCACGACCCCCCGGGTACAGGGAGCAGGTAGGAGCCAGCACCCCTCAACCTCCTGGTCCTGCCCCAGCCCCACACCCACACCCTGACCAGTGTGTCTGCCCCCCCAGCCCCAGGCAAGGCTGACGACACCTACGAGAACCTCCGGCTGGTGCGGGGCCGGCCGGGCACGGGGCCCAGCAGCGCAGAGGTGAGTGCGAGGCAGCAGGAGCCTGAAGCAGAGCTCACAGCTGGCTCAGGCATGCAAAAAGATCCACGGTGTTGGGAGAGGTTCATGGGGGTGCTCAGATGGCAGCTCTGCGTGTGAGGGGAGAGGGCTGCGGGGCGGCTCTGCTTGCTGTGCCCAGGCAGCAGGGTAGATGGCGGGGGGGGGGCGGTGTGGGTGCCCCAGGCTCGGGGCCACCTGGGGCCAGGAAGGGGTTTTCCCTCCTGCTGTTGCTACAGACCTTGGGGAGGGGGATGGGGAGGTGTTCCTTGCTCAGAGGCGCTGGGTGCTGCTGCAGCCCGGGCTGGGGAAAGGGACGGGGCTGTGCCAATGCTCCTGCTGGGACCAAAGCTGCAAGGTTTTGCCCCTCCACTTAGCGTCAGACCAAAACTGCACTGGGGGCAGGAAATAATTTCCTCCCTAGTCAAATCGATACAGACTACGGGAGAAAGGGGATTTTGCTTTCCTCTGCAGCAGGGCCATGGTCTATGCCTGGGATCTCCCCAGTGCACGGTCATAATGTCCTTCTTGCCATTGCAGTGGCAGGATGCTAGCAGCGCTGCAGGGGCTGTGGGTGCTGGGGCTGGTCCCACGGTGCCTCGTCTCTTGCAGAGCCCCGGTGGAGCGCGTGG